CCCCCCCCCCCCCCCCCCCCCCCCTTCTGGGGAAAAATTTGGTTGGGGGGCCCAAAATTTTTTGGTACCCCCCCCCCCCCCCCCCTGTTATTAGACTATTTAGCAGATGGTTTTACCCAAAGCAACATGGTTTATTTTATCATTCTACATTTTTGGGAGAGAGGGGGGTCAGATAAACCTTGGAGCAACTGGGGGTTAAGGGCAAACATCACTCTGCGACCCTCGCATTCCTTCCGATCACAGGCATGTAGTAGTAGAAGAATAAACAATGTATAAATTATAAATAAATGATGTGCTTAATGCTATACAGGTTTGTTAAATGGTTAGATGGGCAGGGGGGTGGACAAAATGAAGGAGTTTAAGTATCTCGGGGTCTTGTTTGCTAGTGAGGGGAGAATACAGCAGGACATTGACATGTGGATCGGTGCAGTGTTAGCAGTTATGTGTATGTCGTTAGGGTCTGTCCTGGTGAAGGTAGCTGAATCGGAAGGCGAAGATTTTGATTTACTGGTCGATCTATGTTCCAACTCTTGCCTATGGTCATGAACTTTGGGTAGTGACTTAAAGACCAAGATTGCGAAAACAAGCAGCTGAAATGAGCTTCCTTCACAGAGAGCCTTGGAAATAGGGTGAGAAGCTCAGACATTCAGGAGGGGCTCAAAGTAGGACCACTGATCCTCTATATCAGAAGGAACCAGCAGAGGCAGTTTCTGGATTAGCATAAGGAACTTGAAACTCCAGTGTGATGGCGCCCATTAAGTCCAGTGATCCTTGGTTTCTTGGGAACAGGAATGATTGTGGAGGATTTGAAGAAGGCTGGCATGTGGCTCATCTCCAGTGAGGTGTTGAAAATGAAAACACTGGGCATAGCTGGTCAGCACTGTTTGAAAGTTGCGGAGAGACAGATGGCGCTTTTCCACTACCACCCAAGCCGTACCATGAAGAGATGGGGGCAGAGACTGTACCCTAACCATGCCAACAGGGCTGAAAGCATGTCTAACCCAAGCTGGTTTGTCACCACCATCTGATTGGTTGAAATTCTCTAAAATGAGAGAACCAGTGATCTGCGTCTATGCAAGGTTTAGTAGTATCGCACGTCGTATCGATGCATTCCCGATAACTCGGAACTTGAAAATTTCTAATCTCCTACTTGAAAAAGTACTATAGCATGGCTGAACGTAATGAATTCATAATGCAAACTTACACAAATGAATGCTACTTCCACTAGCGTTTGAGGCAAACAGCACAGCAATTCTCACAGATGTGCTTGCAGAAATTAGCACATAGTAAATCATGATGTTCACCTTGTGAACAGTAAATAAGCATCTCTTGGGTTTTACCTCACTGTCGTTCTCAAAACCCGGCAGCGCCTTTACTGAGCCGACCCTTCTGCAGTGGAAAATCGAAGCAAGCTGGAACCTCACTGTAACTATCTCTCTTCGTGGTATGGCTTGGGTACGGCCTGGTTCCTGTTTGCCAGTGGAAAAGCATAAAGAGTCCGGCCCAGCTGCCTTGTGAGGGTTCTGTCTCTTGAACAACCTGTTACCATCTCTCTCCTGAATAGTGAGAGCCATTTTGGGTTGGGGGAGGAGAATGGCTGACAAAGGCAGTAAGCACGTCAGTCAAAGATGTTCTGGGACTTAAGTAAAGGTGGTGGTGGCAGTGGTCTGGAGCTGATAGCTCGGGGATGGTAGCAATTGTCATTTGACCATTAGGGGCACTGTAATGAGCAAAAAATGCATTTTGGCTAGTAACTGATTATATGTTTGCCTTAGAAAACCTTACCTTTGTCTGCGTCTATTCCGAGTGCCGTGAAAAAACGGAACGCGAGGTTCAGACTTATTGTCATGTCATGTTAAAATGACAATGTTGAATAATTCAGCAATAGTTTAAGAATTGCATTAGCCCATAATAAGAGTTGCCATTTTTATTGTTTACTATTTGTAAGTTTTTTTTCTTGTTGATATTTTGTTCTGAAGTAACTAAGTATTTATTTAGCTTTAAATAAACTTGTTGGCAAAATTGCAACTAATTTAAAATTTGTTCAGAAATGTTCTTTGGCACTATATTTTTACAAAGGAAAATAGTTTGGTTGTACTGTTCAGTAATTTGCAAAATAGTAAAATCTATATCATTCAAATCAGTATAAATATTGTGATAAAACCAAAATTGTGATTTTCCATATCGCCCACCCCTAATGTCAACTGATGCAGCTGCTGTACTGCATTTTATTGAAAGGTTTAAAGATTTTTCACAGGCCACAAATGTTGTCCACTCTTAACCAAATTTAGCACAAATGATCTTTGGACCAAGTGTAACAAAAGTTATTGGATGGATTTTTGATTTTCACACAGAAATGGGTGGAAAAGCCACCAAACGGGAAGGGAGGGCATTTCTCAGCAGTGCTTTGATATTTTGACAACAAACTTCGTGAATGGACTCGAACACTTTGAGGATGTGCAAAAATAGTTGTCATTTGACCACTGGGGGGTGCTGCAACAAGCAAAAAATGTTTTTCCTAATAGCTTTTGATGTGATGGTCTTATCACCAGGTATAACCACTTTTATATCTTAAGAGGTCCCAAGGAAGAGACATGACCTATTGCTGCTTGCAACTATGTTGCTGTAGTAATTCTTCTTAGTAGACATAGTAGGTTATTTGGCTGAAAAACATAGAGGAAAATGTTCAGAAAATTTCATTAGCAAAACTAAAGGCCCATTATGGTATATAAACTGAAGCAGTGTAATTGAAGGCTTGCTGTATTCTGTAATCTCGGTGGGTTTATGACAAGCGTTACTATGGTGTTCTGTCTGGATGGAGTCTTGACCTGCACATCTGCCCCGTCCCGGTCCATCTGCTTCACCGCCCTGCCTCTCGTCCCCGTCCCAGGTTGAGCAGCTCTACTTCATGAATCTGTGCTCCCGAGACGACTGTGTCCACATCCTGACTCGCTACCAGTGGGACCTGCAGCAGGCCAGTCGCTATGTGCTGAAGTTGGCAGGAGGAGCAGGAACAGGAGGAGCAGGAACAGGAGGAGCAGGAACAGGAGGAGCAGGAACAGGAGGAGCAGGAACAGGAGGAGCAGGAACAGGAGGAGCAGGCAGCGCTTCAGGAAGCCACGGAGGCCTGGACAGGTCTCCCCGGAGGGACTGGGAAAGCGAGAGGAGCTGAGGGATTTGTGGGGCCACTGACAGCGTTGGGGACAGGAGGTCTGAAGGATGAGCCAGAGCGAGAGAGGAAGGCGAGGCGGGTCACAGACTGACAGGGACGCCCCCAGAAAGGGGCTCCCAGCCTCAGATCCGCGTCTTCTGGGGCCCTTGAGTTCCGTGCGCCGTGTTTCTGAGGAAAAGGCGCCTGTCTCTCAGCCCCCTGGGTGTCTGAGTCCTCATGATGAATGGAGTGGGACGTTGACAGATTTGTATTTTACTTTGTATCATGGCTCAGAAATGTTGAACATTCTGTTTGCCTGTAGGTCTCTAAATGTTTACAGTCGTCTCATGAAACTATTTATGTAGCACCTTTTGAACAATTTCCTTTTTAATTGTAAACTCTTTTTTGTGCATAGAGAGGCTATGCAGTATATTCTAGCTTCCCCTCTGTGTGATGGCAGTGTCTCTCCTCCTGGTGCTCCTGCTGCATCCTCGGTCTATGACGAGCCGTTTTATGGCTGCAGTCACGGGGCCGGCTGTGGCAGAGGCAATCTGCACTTTGGAGCCAAAGAGCAACTGGGCCAGATTGTCAGTGCCATCTACTTCCCGTGGCAACCACAGGCATGTTCGTGGTCATAAGTGGGGGGAGAGAAGTCCCACAGGCTGGAATGCCGAGGGAGGGTCGCTAGGTGGAAACTCCTGGTGACCCCTGGTGGTTGAACCCTGGCTGTGCAAGAAGTGGGTGGCGTAGGAACAAAAGGCAGAGGAGGAGCCTTTTGCGTTCATGCCACATGGATATATGCCAAGCTGATGCTTTTTCCTGGGAATGTGTGCCGCCATTGTCCAAGTATGATTGTTTTCCAAGTGCACCCCCCCCTCCTTTAAAGCAGGCTAGGCTTTACAGTATCTGAATGCTTTGTAAATCCTGTGTTTTTCAACTGTATAAAGAAAAACCAATAAAAATGCTCAGACTTAAATTGCTTTCAGTGACATTTCAGTGAATTCTGGCAGTGGTTTTTCACCTCCTCCCCCCCCTGCCGCACCCTACACCCACCCATCAAAACCAGATCCTACTGCTAGCCTGGGTCAGAGGCTGCATGTCAGGGGTGGGGGAGGCTGCCAACTACCACTCGTTTCACATTACTTGCATATCTTTTGTTGTTCAACCATGCCCCTCCCCCACTCCCTCTTGCACACACACCCATTCTCTCATTTCCTCCTCTTCTGTTGCAAGGGGAGAATTGCAAGCCCTGGAAACAAGACTCAATTTTTCCAATTGGCAACAGATGTTTCGCATGGGGTGGCTGGCTACGTTTTTGTAGGCACTGTGCTCTCAAACTTGCAAGGAAAAAAAGACACAATGCACCAATACTTGCTTTCTGACGTGTTTATTGACCGGGTTCCACACGGATTGTTTTTCTCTTCAGTGGTTTTATGTGTATTAAACTGAATATACAATACAGTAAACAGGGAAATGACACAGTAGGTGTAGGGTGCAGAAGCATTCCGGCCAAAGTGTATTTCAAGCAAGGTTGGTCCATGTTTAGCTGGAAATAACACCTCTGACATTTAAAGACTCAGATACCAAGGCCTAATGAGACGCGTCTTTGGAGTTTGTGCAGGACCTTGGCACACAAGCAGAATGAATCACATGCGTTTCTGTTAATCATCACATTATCCATTTCACAAAGAAGCTGGTGTGGAGATGCCTCCACCCAGCCCCAAAGATCACCAGCAGTCATCACCGCTAACTGCTGAACACACGCATTTCTGTCACCTGTACGGCAACAGAATTTGCTCACCTGACCCTATCCTTGTAGCTCTCCTGAGCAATCGTACTTTGAGCCTGTCATTTCCCAACAGTTCACTAGGGAGGGGGAAGGGGGGAGGGTTCACTGAAGGTGAAGCTTGACATGGGGGGGGGGGTGCGGTGCACTGGCTCTGTAAGGAAGGAAGCTATTCCTAAAAATAAAATAAAAAAATACTGAAAAACATCATCCAAGGAAAACTATTAAAATACTCGGACTGAAGATCAACAATATTGTTCTGAGTCATTCCAGTTTACAGAGGATCCTTGGTGCTGTAAAAAAAAACTTGGTTTTTACTGCTCACTGCAAATTGCATTTTTTTTAACAAAAGGCTCAGCTATAATTGAGAAGTAAGGGTGTTTTTCTTTAACAATAACGCAACATAGTTGGAGTCAGCGGTTTTCATAGGAGTTTGTCACCCTCTGACATCAGAGACTGACTAGGCTATTGCCCGTTTTATCATATAAAAAAATACAAAAAGAAAAATAAAGGCACATTAATTTAATGCAGTTACTTTAATATTGTGCTGCAAAAAAAAAACTTCTAATCTACATGTATGTTGTAAATGCATTTCAGGTCACCCCAAAAACTGATTTTTATATGGAATTTATTAATTTTGTACAACTAAGACTATAAATGACAAAACTGATAATTCTTTAACTACTTAGTAATAAGGATAATGCTGAAGTAAACACATTTATCTTAGCGTGTGTATATATCTGATGTTAAATGTATTATGCCCTAATGGTTATCTAATGAAAATGAAGTGACATCGAACTAGACTAGAACAACGCTGATTCACAAATTTTAACGTTTTATTAATTGTAACACACTAAGATTAATAAATGCCAATAAGCTTCCAAAAAATTTACAAACCATCCTCACAGAGACATGAGGAATGAGCTCCAAAGGACCCAGAGGATGACCCACCCCATGCAGGAAGGTCGAGGGACAGAACGGACTTCCTTCCATGCCAATCTGCTCTCTCTCCTTCTCAGGAGAAGACTGTATTGCGCTGCTTCTCGTCATTGACCTTCTCGAAGAACATGAAGTCCTGGAGGGGACAGAGGGGGGTGCCGTGAACCTTTGATCAGTGGGTGGGGAACAGTTGTGCGAATGAGCGAGCAGGGAACTCACAATGAGGAAGCAGGCGCCCATCAGCACGGCTTTGACCTTCACGTCCATGTCCAGGGGGAACTGGATGCCGAAGTTGTCCGCGTCGGTGAAGGCCTCCTTCAGCAAGCCGCTCCACTGCTTGCTGATCCTCCCGATTGGTGTCCCACCATCCTTACCCTTTAGCTGAGGGATAGGGCTTTAAGGTTCTTTGTCATCTCAGCATAAGAATGCCTGTGGCTCATGGGAGTTTTACTTACACAAAAATGTTCTGAGGGCAGAGTGAAAAGTGATTGGTTCAGAGAGTTAACCAATCAGATTGTAGAGGAGGAGGTGGGTCCAAGCAACTACAGGAGATAGGACCAAGACCAATCCCCTCTACAATCCGATTGGTTCATTTTCATTTTCCTTTCTGCCCTCAGAACATTTCTGTGTAAGCAAAACTCCCATGAGCCATGAGAATGTGTGTACACACGTCACGCCCCACATGGCTACTACAAAGTGCCATTTCCCCTGGGCCACTGTGCATTTCGTGATTAAGTAATAAGCTAAGAAAAATACAGGCCACATGTGGAGTCATTCAGAAGTCGAGGGTGGCGATGCCGCTTCCTGCCACTTCCTGCGCCAACAGGCTTAACCCACCCTGCGGCCAAAGCTCTTCCCATCGCTTACCTCAAAGTTGATATCGCCGCAGCAGTTACAGGCGCAGCACGGGCCATCCAGCTTGAGGATGGGTTCCCGCGACGGCCCAAGGATTGAGAATTTTGGCAAGCAGGGGTGCCAGTCCTGGACCACGTAGCCAATGGTGGTTCCAGGCGGAGCCTGTACTTCTAGCTAAAAAAAAAATAATAATAATGTAACCACTAAACAATTAAAAAAACAAGGGTCTGATGTGAACATTTTTTTCCCAGCAGTACCACTCCTGTCACACTGCCCTCACACGAAACCTCTTAACCCACAACAAACACAGACTAGTGGGGAAGTTCTCTTTTCACTTATTTGCTCTCTATGACATGCACGCATCGGCTTTTGCATCGGCTGCTCCTAGAAGACTGTAAGGACCGAGAGAGCGTGTCACAGGGGGTGGGGGGCTTACCTCCTGCAGGCAGCAGGGGCACCAGCAGGAAGCGCAGCGGAAGGGGCGCACCAGGCGAATGACCTCGCGATCCATGTTGTCCTTGATCTTCATGTCGAAGCTGCGCAGCGAACCGCAGCAGTTGCGCGTGCAGCAGTCGTTCTTCTCCTTGGCGTTGTAGATCTTCTGCCCCATGCTGTTCTTTATCTCATACTTGTTGTTGGTCTCGAAGCCGATAAAAGCTGTGGAGGCAATGTGGTTTATTATTTACCACCATAAGAAATGATAAAGGAACGGAAAATCAGGAAGAGGCACACAAAGACGTCAAAGCTAGAGAAACTGCAGAAGGTGCATGCAAAACAGTCTGTCCTGAAATGCTGTTCTAACAATGCCAGCCACTATGCAAAATGGGTAATTTTTTTACCTGTTAATTTTACTAAGGGTGTGGCTTAAAACTCACTCTAGAGACATGAACTAGAAACCTTCTGGTTGTAAGTTAAACGGAAATAACAGAAGGACTTTAAAGTGGAAGATTAGGGGTTTGATGCATGAAGACGGCAGTCAGGGAGAAAAAGTGGAGCGTAAATATGAATGGAAGTCATTTCTCTGGGTCTGCTCACAGACGACTCCAAGACCTTCTGAAGCGCTATGAAATCTCGACCCGCAGTCTCACCTTCCAATAGCTCCACTTTCTGGTGTATCAAGATCTGATCAATCTGTTACAAAACAAACCGGACAATAATATCTTAGCTGGTGGCACAATGCACAGTTTCTAATAAAATTACACAGTCGCATGGAGATATGACAGACAAGTCATCCACATGGGAAAAAAAAATATCCATAAAAGCCATTTCTTGTTCAAACATGTTATAGACCAGAGATAAGGTATTCCTTATGATCCAGAGCAGTGTTTCATCCCAGCTCCGAACAAAAACATAGACTGTCTGTGGGTCCCTGAGGACCGAACTGGAAAACACTGCTCCCAATGATAAAAAAAAAACCATCATGAATAGATTTTATTAAAAATAAAGCACGTTTAGAATTCATACACAAACAGTAAACTAAGGGCCAGTTTGTGCATAGGACCCAGTCACCAGTGTTTCTGGTCTGGGGGGGTTGCGTTTTGAGGGCCCCTAACAAAATAATTTGAATTAAAACATTTGTTTAAAATTTTTTTTAATGAGCTACCCACCCAGATATATGTCTGGACTTGTTTGGGCCAAATATCCTATGCGCCCAGTAACCATAATACCAACTGCTGCTATATGTATATCACATACATGCATCTGTTTCAGTGACGTAATCCTTATTTACGACATGCACACATTCAAAGCTACTGACCTGCGTTAGATACTCCAAGCCCGGAGGGACTCCGACGGCGACGGACATGGGTACAGCTGGACTACCAGTTGCCATAGTAATGTTATCGGCCCCGTATTGAGGGTTGGCCATCGGCGACTGGTAAGGCATGGGATTGGCCGGTCCCGGCTGGTACATGACCGGCTGGCCTGGCTGTGGCTGATACCCCATTTGGAATCCCGCAGGGGGTGCCTGACTCGGGTCCCCATAACCCCCTGGGGGCCCGGGGTATGGGGCCCCGCCGTAAGGACTGGGCTGAGGCATGGGGTACGGAGGCTGCTGAGGAGATGGATAACCTGTGAAAGACAGAGCAGAATAAAGAACGAAATGACATCATAGCTGTCAGATAATTACTTGTGTGAATCCTTCTGCATTTAGAGTAATACAGCTCCGTTGTTTGTGGTTTTCCTTCTTTGTATGAGGATGCAGCCTGAAATGTTTTACACTTGGTGCCTCAACGAGCTACCAAAGATAAAATGTCAATGATCTTTATCGTATTTGCTAGAAGACAAGCAAAGCACCTCATACATGCATACACATTCATATACATATGATGTGTGTGCATACATACATACATACATACATACATACATACATACATACATACATACATACATACATTTTGAGGTCTCACGCCTATATATTCATGGCCTGGTGGCCAATCTTCACTGACTGCACATTCCATCAGTAAGAGTGTATGAAGGTTGAATTCCAAGAGCAATAGCACAACATAATGGGAGACATATCATGGTTTAAAAGAAAAACTGTTGGTGAGCATCTCGCTGGTGTAACCATGTGCAGGACAGTAAGTCTTTGTTGTGTATTGAGAGTCACAATATCCAAGGTAATGTCGCGATACCACCACAAAGTTGGACCACATCCAACAGGAGTAATTGTGGATGCAAGAGGAAGCTGTCTGAAAGGGATGTCCGGGTACGAACCAGGATTGTATCCAAAAAAACATAAAACCACAGCTTCCTAACTCATTCCAGAATTAAATGCGCATCTCCTGTTTCCACCAAAACTGTTCAAGGAAAGTTCCACAGGGTCCATATTCATGGTCAGGCTGCTATAACCAAACCTTTGGTCACTCGTGCCAATGCCAAATGTCGGTTTCAATGGTGCCAGCAGTGCAAAACTTGGGCTGTGGACAATGTGACACATGTATTGTTCTCTGGTGAATCCACCTTCACTGCCTTTCTCACATCCAAGAGAGTTATGGTGTGGAGAAGCCCCAAAGAGGCTTACCACAGTGCAGAGACTGTTTGGGTTGCAATATCATGGCATTCCCTAGGCCCAGTACTTGTTCTAGATGGGCGTGTCACTGCCAAGGACTAACGAACAATTCAGGAGGAACATGTTCAAACATTGTACCCTGAAGGTGGTGCCATATATGAAAATAATAACGTAGCAATACGAACAGCAAGATTGGTGACAGTGAATATGAACATGAAACTCAACCTGAACATCTCCCATGGCCTGCACAGTCACCAGATCTGAATATTACTTAGCCACTTTGGGGTGTTTTAGAGGAGAGAGTCAGGAAAAGTGCGCAAGCAAGCACGCCCGCACACACACCTGTCAATTGTCTGTAGTAGGAATTTCATGGTACTTTGTACAATAAAACTTTAAACCTTGAAAATCACCCAGAAAGCTGGGAAAATAAAATTGTATGAATCATTACATATGCTACTATAAAGGCTAGAAAATGAAGCAAGCTAACTTAGCCAACACTAACAGCATTCTTGCTGCTTAGAAGCCTATTTATATTTCTATGTAGAATCTATGCCATAGGTGTGGTGGAACAACGTGCCTTATAGTGTAGACTGACATGCACCTCCCCAGAAACACAGCTACGCTAACCTCAACAGCTGTGACTGGTCGGCATAGTACCACTTCCTCCTGCACAAATGCTTTGCTGTCGTTTGTTTCTATATGGGGGGTTTTAGTGTGAAATAAGAAATGCTTAGCTAGCCTGCTGTTTGTGCCATAGTTGTAGCTATTCATGCTTAAAAAAAAAAACCACAACAAAACAATTATATATATATTTATTTATTATTATTACTATTATTAAGGTTGTAGCAGTTGTGATTTTTTTCGCAATAAATATTTCAAATATTTATAAAGCAAAAAAAAAAAAAAAAAGAGTTCCAAATAAAATTTCTCACAAACCCATCAGTGATGGATGGATGGATGGATGGAAGAAAACGATGACTGACAGAGTATGCAGCGGTCATATTAAAACGGCGGCAAATTTTAAATTGACTTGTAAACATGCTAGGTAAAAGTATTAAAGAACGATCGTTAAAACTGCAAAGCTTACCACGTTTTATTTCTTATGACAGAGTGAAAAAAGTTCATAAAAATGCTACAGACAGTGTGAGAAGCGTCAGCTACAGATCGATAGACGAATGAGAAAGTGGTGAGCGTGAGAGGCGTCTGCTACAGATCGATAGACGAGTGAGAAAGTGGTGAGTGTGAGAGGCGTCTCCTACAGATCGATATAGACGAGTGAGAAAGTGGTGAGCGTGAGAGGCGTCTGCTACAGATCGATATAGAAGAGTGAGCTGCCACACGTTTATAGTAAAGAGGAAACGCTTTAACATTCACTTTGCTAATGGACAGCTAAGCTATTTTTAAATTTGACACAAATAACTCTGATTAACTACTACTAACAAAATGAACCAGACTAGTGGGCTTTGCTAGGAAACCTACATTCTAGACTGAAATTAAGTCAATTCCACAGAATTAGGAATAACTTGGAGAGAAACCCAAGTTTGTCTTTTTCTGAGACTGATCAGTTTATATTCCAAAATAAAAAGACTGTAAAATTGTCATGTTGGATTTTTATGAACTCAGGTTGAACAGAATTGAACAGAATGTTTGAACTGCAATTAAATCAAGACACTGTACACCGAAGAATACAACAGTGTTTTGAATATTCTTCTAAAAATGTTCAGATTTGAAAAATAAATCAGATGTTCCTTCAATACTAGGGATGCACCGAAATTTCGGCCGCCGAAAATTTTCGGCCGAAATAGCATTATCGGTTTGAAGTAAAACGTTTAATGCAGGTAATATTTTGCACAATTCGTAAAGGCACTAAAAGCTAGCACAGACTGAGTGATTTTATTCAGTGCAGTATGTTCTTCATGAGAAGAGGAACTGTGTCTTCAGCCAGAAAACTGAAAAACTTTTGTTCATAAAGATAAACCTGCTTCTTTTGCTTAAATTAAAAGCAGACCAATTTAGTGTGTATAGTTATGTTGTTTACAGTAAGAGGTTGGATTTATTTATTTTTCTTCTGTTTGTGCACTGTTGTTTGGTACAGTAATTTAAAATTGAAGTAAAAAAGCAGCTAGCATTTTTTTTTGCACAATTTTGTTACAGAAAGAAATTTTATTTAGTTTTGTTATTGTTAAACAGCCTTATTACTGTTATTTATTATCAATAAAAGTTTGATTGCTTAATTAATTTGTAGTTTTTTTAATACAAACAAAAAGAAAATATTTTAAACATGTTTTTTAATGAAGCCATTTTCGGTTTCGGTATCGGTTTTCGGCCAAGTGCATCCAAAAATTTCGGTTTCGTTTTCGGCCCAGAATTTTCATTTCGGTGCATCCCTATTCAATACTATACTATACTATCACAGTGACTCGTGCAGGTAATACCCAATAATATTCCAAGGTGTTAAATTTGATAAATTGGGCCATCATCTGGATCTGGAGACCTAGAAATGCTACTGAACCAGATGAGAAAATGGAAAAATAAGCATCTTATGTGATTTACATTATGCACTATACGTATGGATGTATGTTGTCTGTAGTACATCCATCTGAACTTTCAGCACTGCATTGTTTACAACTGCAAAAAACCACTGTATTTCTCACCTACTTTGCACTAACTGCTCTCGGTTGTGTTTCTTGTGTCTTGTATTTTTTCCTCTGTTTATGCCCTAGCTGTTAAGCGTCTACCTTCATGGTGTCTCAAAACTGTAATATGCCGTGCCATCGAACAATTCCACCAGCCTGGGTCATTTGGCAATAAAGATTCTGATTTTTTTGTGCTTTCCCATCCAGCTCAAAAACACTGACAGGACTGACATCAGCAACCGGAGGACAAATTTCCCATGAGGCACTGCTGCAGTCCAGCAGTTCACACTAAGCGCACATTACAGGAAATAGTGCAGGATCACCGTCATGCATTAAAAAAACAAGCCTGCTTCATGCGAAACAGATCTACTGTCAAAGACCAAAAACACACAAGAGCCACACCTATTCCAGTGCCAAAGCACAAAGCATACAACAATACAATGCTAAACCAAAGTGAACAGCACACAAGAGACTTAAATCAGAATTCTAGCTGTCTTTTCTATTAGAAGGTAAAGAAGAAAAATCCAGGGCCATAAGTGTTAAATGTGCTATTGTAGTAACTTTATGTTCAACCCAACACTATACACAAGAACAGAGCACTAAAACCAAGAAGTCAAACCAAGAGTCCGAGTGCTTTTAATGACTCCCAAAAGCTTTTCTTGACACTTTTAACCGACATTCATCCAGAAATGATCATTTTCTTTAGTATATAGCTACATTACAATGGCATTGAACCAAATTTTACTGCTGAAACAGCCAAGGCTGGATAATAGCCAAGGCTGATTCCATATCTCCAGGAAAACAGACAAAAGCAAAGGAAAAAGCCAGTCAGCTAACAATGTTTAGGTTTACACTTCAGCACTGCATTAATGCCGAATAATACATGTTAAACTGGTTTTAGCCGTTTCAAGAATGAGTATGAACAGTGGAAATGCATCATACTATTAAGAGCTATGGATCATGCATCTGAAATATGCCCCGACAATCCCACCCTTTACCAATAAAAGCCACTGAGCAAATCTTTCTTTGTATATTGTGTGGAACAAAATGGTTACCATAATGAGTAACTTCAAGCAGCACGCGAATGCAGTTAATCTCTCCAAAGTGTACAAGCCATGAAGGGAGGAGGAGGGGAACTTTGGGCAGGATATCTGCTAGGGGAGGGCGATATGGCCAAAATGTCATATCACAATATTTTGCATTAGAATCATGATCCACCATATAGATCACCATTTTTGTTTGTTTACAAATCAATGTATGTAGTAATGTTAATTAACCATTTAACCATTTAACCGGCGATTCTATCCCTACAAACGTGTAACATTATAATAATAAACGTAAGGTTTGTAAAACACTGTACGTATTGTATATGAAACCGACTCATTATAGCGAAAGTGCTATTTCTTTTAATGCTAAAGTTTTGAGTACAAATGAACAATTATCATTTATCATTTAGGTCAATAGATGGGCACTTCTGAACTCAGTTCACAACAAATACAAACATATACTAAAAGACTAATTAAACTGGTTGTGTTACCAGATGTCAGATCTTTACAAAGCTTTCAAAATGAAGTAGACTGGTTCACTGCTGCGGACAGGGGCGCAGGAACTGCGGGAAACAGTGGAGACTTGTACCCCTCAATATTTAAACTCCGTTTCATTCTCCCCCCACCAATAAATATAACTTAATTTAAATATAAAAGGTCAACAACTTGGATGCCAAGAAGCCAAAACCAACAGAAGAAGAATTATTAAATTATTATGTTTTACCCTGAAAATTTCAAACTCTCTCCTACTGCAGCCTCAAACTTGCAGGTACTGTGATCGGCGCTTGTCGGTTTGTTCTGTTGTTATAATAATAATGTTAAGCAGTGCACTTATAACTGGACATTTATTGGAAGCTCAGTCTCGCCGCGCTCATGCTTGGGCGAGTCCTCAACAGCATGCATGTTCATAATGTGCCATTTGCCACACTTGTACGTCACTTTGGACAAAAGCATCCGGTGAATTAAAGTAAATGTAAATGTAGTGCAGTATCGTGATTCTCGCAATATCTCTGAATCACTTACCGTGGATCCAACTGCAACCGGTCATGATAAATTATCATCATATGGCCCAGCACTACAATCTACGACAAGCAGGTAACTGCATTAACTCCACTCAAGAACATTCTCTGAAATCCCCTCGGACTTCCTCCAAACACAACTGATCTTGTGGCTTAGCTGGAGATATGTCTGGTTGCAAGATATCTTCATTTGCAGGAATCCAGCCATATTCAGTTAGATACAAGGACCCCAAAGACAAGTGAGTTGCGTCACGAGTGAGCTGCCTTCTGAAATGAATCTGGAGACATTTCAGCATGCTGGTGACAGAAGCCCAGGGTACCTCATTCAGTAGCAAAATTCAAGCAGAAGGACTACTCCACTCCCAATGTCTATAAACCAGTACAAAAGCATCACACCTACATCAGACACACCTAGTGAAGGAGCAGCGATACCACATGTGAAACACAAACAAAGACTTTACTTTACTTTCAACTGCAAGGCAAAAATTCCAGGATGCAAATACACAAAACTTCAATGACGCCAGGCCAAAACATGCCAAATACAGTTGCACGTACTTTTCAGAACACAAATCAGACTACATCACACTTCATGATTACTAAGGAAGATACAGGCATTAAGATGCAGATATACTGGTAAAATGCAACTACAAACACCATCACTAAAAGCAGTCATACACTAATTAAAATTTTTAGTTTTAGTTTTTTGCAAGCTTGAAATATACTTTTCAATTTGTTCCTGTGGGTGTGTGATACACCTGCTGTCTAGAATGGTGTTCAAGGCACTACATAAAAAAAATTATTATTATTGTTAAGTAAATGAGTACCTGGTGCTGACATGCTTGTACGGACTCGTACGTGAGGCAGAAGATGTGGAAAAGCTTCTTATGCAGGCGGCCTGGAAACACAAAGATCGCCTCGGCTAATGTTTCACCTAAAACGGAATAAAAACGTTAACATTCGGTGATTAAGGAACAGGGCCATCAAAATTGCTTTGGAAATAAGTGCCAAAAACTAATAAAATACTTGATTTACCACGATATTTAAATCAGCAATAAAATGTTACAGTATTTCTAAACACTGGCAGTAGTTTAACAGATATTTAAATATTCCTAAGAGATATGAATGACGTATCCACGGTAGTAAAATACATTAGACGACTAATCGATTGTAAACAATACAGTCACAAACTACTTTACACATAAATTAACCTTTTAATGTCGACAGAGCATCGCAGAGTTGCTGGATTAATGTTAATTCCTACACATGCTATCAATTTTTAAAATATTGTTCCACCCTCGAAGTGCTCCAGGTCATATTCAAGATTTACAAAACAAAAGAAGCGGAAATTTTCTGCTATTTAAATAAATGTACCATACCCTATTTGCAGAGGGATTTTAAAATTAGATTTGTTCCCAGTACTCGGCTGCTTGCCAGGGATCCAGACACTGAGCGTCCAAAGACGCCTTAATATCGCGATCAGTTAATTAACTCAGTTACAATCAGTTACGTAACGACGTATAAATGAGCGATTGTTCATATAGTTTTTAGTTATGACATGTTCTGTTTATTTCTATAGACATGAACAAAGCAAAAATTATGCTATAATATTTATCAACAAATAATTCGTAGTGACCCAAACACATATATAATGGATCTTACATGAAGGGCTTAAACAAACTGAAATTGTTACTACACCTTACTTGATCCCCGAATTTGCAGTCGTCGCTTCCCGCCGGACAAATATAAAGATCTCCAGATACCAAATAGCAAACACTTTATTATTCTTAATAAAGCTTTTCATGCCAATCGAATGTATTCCATCGGCGACCAGGTTACTACGTGAACCAATGCCCCAAGATATGCTCAGAGTGCTCACGAACAAGGAAGTAGGCGTGTACTTTAACTGTTTCCCCCTCATAATTAATTTAATCTGCTTGAATATTAGTATCGACTTTTTCGATCAGTACTTAATACGTATGTATTTTCCTTGCTTTGCCGCAGAAACAACGACGAAATAATACTGTGTACTTGTATAATAGTGTAACGCTACACAATTCCACGACGAAATCCTACAATCGCAGTAAAACGAGCATAATCGGACTAACTTTTAATCAACAGAAAGCCAACGTAAAAACGGTTTTATTATTTATATATACATATAAAACCCAGCCACTTACTCCGATACTGAATACTACAGTTTCTGTTTTAAAACGCGCAACACGTTACTTACCGAAAAGATAACATCCACATATATGGGTTTCCTCACTATTCTAAAAATCCCGGAGACTCATGGAAATTAAACGTTAAAAGCCTACAAATCTACGCAGTATTTTCCACAGAATGAGAAACTGAAAGTAGCGCTGGCTGGGGGCTTGTGATAGTAATAAGGATGGTCTTTGTGTTTCCCCTCTCACATACTCCACCTCGATAAAGGAGGCAAAAAAGAAAAATGTTTCACCTTTCCCCCCTCGCTTCTCCACCCTTTCATCCTTTGACGTCCAAGTCACAATAAGTAAATTTACTAAATGTCTCAAACACTCCGTATTTCGGTTTCATTATAAAGTGACTTCCCGACTAAGGACATTTTAGATTAATTGTAACATCTTACATGTAAGTCGAAAAGTAAAGCAAGTCGCGCTTCCTACTTCGCATAATTTACGTCGGGTAGTTCCAGCTTAGTTATGTCGCTTAAAATAAATGCATTTGTTGTATTAAAGAAAACAAATTAAGTACAAAACAGTAATATGTCACTGGGACCATGAAGGGAAACATTATATGCTTGCAAATCAGTGTAAACTACTTGCTCAGCAATGCATTTTATTTCGTATTTGTTTTGGATAATGAGCGTGTTCGTAATAACTACCATTTCGCTAACGTCAACGTTGAACAATGTACGTAAAGAAATTCGCTTTAATATTACGTATTACGTATATTAAGTATGAAAGCCATTATTGGTTATGAAAACAATCATTGACAAAGTGGAGGGTAATTAATACTAGAACTCAGTTTTACTTGCCTAAAATTAATGCTACGAAATATACTACATTATCGCAAATGTATAGCTGGTCGGCGAATGTTTATCAGTGAATCCCAACACGTGCCCCGCCTTCCGGCCTTCATGCATTTATTTGGTGAAGTTGGCCGCTAGGGGGAGATGTCAGTTACTTTGGTCACTTTAAATCTCAGAAGCTTGACATACTGGCTGACATAGTCCAACCATTCATTTATCCGAATATTCCAACAAGGAGCCTATCCAATGGCAAAAAAACCCCGCAGGTTTCCAAATGAAACTAGACTATTTTCGTGTATGCACAAACAGAATTACACTGTGGGGGTTGGCCAAGATGGCGACCGTGCAGCACAAACTTTGTTAGTGTCTATAACATTTGTGGTGCCTGTTGACAAATTGATTAGAACGAGCATTTCTCCTCTCAAAATGTAGCAGGCCACAACACTACGGCACCTTTACTTCGTTAGAGCGTAAGGGAAGCGCCCCAAAAGGACACATTAAATATATATTTTCTTATGTTTATATAATAGGCTGCAACTAACGACTATTTTGATAGTCGACCAGTCATCGACTATTAAAACGATTAGTCGACTAATCGGATTATAAATTGCATAATTATAAAATGGCTCCTATTTGGCTACCAGCTTTTACATTTAGCATGAGGTTATTGTTCGATTTGAATGCCGCAAAAACACACATGTAAAATGGGAAAGAGCTGTCGTGCGATTGATTGTGCAAATAAATTTAACACGAAATAGGAGCTATCTTTTTAGAGATTTCCAAAAACGAAATAAGTATAGAAGGTGGATTGGTCACACATGACCGATACCTGATCCGTCAAATAGGTCTGGATCGGCACTGATACCGTTATAATCAGGGCTGCATATAAATGATACGCAAGTACGCAGTCACCTTTAAAAGCGATACGTGCGACAATCCATTGCTGTGACAGTGCAAATGCGTACGTATTTTATGTGCATTTGTGCTGGTATGACAAGAAATTATCATGCATTTTAACCTGTATATGCTAATTCATACTTCATTTGCGGTATAGAGGTTAAAATGCACGGAAAATTTCTTGTCATATCAGCTATTTATATAGCCTATGTTTACAAATAAAAACTCATTTTAAAAGCAGGCTGAAAAATCCCAAGATCCCAACCCAAAATAAGGGAAATTTAGAGCAGCTTCCCATTGCCATTCCTCTTAACAGAAAGAAAACGGACTTCAAAACTGCTGTTATTTATTTTTAACGGAGAAGCAGCTCTCGCAGCACTTGCGACATCGGAGCCACTGTCCTGAATCTTGAGCTACAGGAGGGCTCCCATGCGCTGCATTCAATATGCCCGCCGATGCTCCACGAAATCCGTCAGGACCCTAGCTGCCTTCCCTGTGCCGGTTCCTTTTATCCCTATCATCAGAGCATGTGCAGCCATCTCGCCCCATATCCAATCCTAACTGCAGTCCTCACACCTGCTTATAATCAACCGGCTACAATACACCCCCCAAAATGAGATTGGCGACCTGGCGATCACAGTTAAGAATTCCATCCCCAAACCACTAGTTTTCCTCCCCAACCAAATGATCATTCACTGACCGTAGTAACTTATAGGGGTTGGTATGATGAACAGCGGTGGACCTCACTGAACGTCTAACTGGTCTGTGCACCTCAGCGGAGGGCACAACCTCCTCCACTAAGCAAGGCCTACCTGGGGAGGCTCCATTGTGCCCTTCCCACCAGCCCTGTCCCCGCAAAATCGCAGAATCCTCATCCGATTCTGTCTATGTTGTCCCTGTCAGCAACCCAGACTCTATAGACATTACCGGAACATCTTCCCCTCACTTCATAATCCCCTGTGGTACTGGCCGCAACTCTGTTCGGTGAACTTGATGGACAACCCCCCCCCAATGGAGTTTACTCTAACTGCACCCTGATTTCAGGGACACCAAACTACCTTATGCAAACGGGCATCCCAATGATCCTGTATTTTATTCCTACCTCGAGCATGGTTCCTCAACCACACCAGCTGACCTTCATCCAACCCCTGATCATTCACCAGCTCATTGTTTGACTTCATCGTATGGCTTGTTCCTCCAACTGACCCTTCACATGCTCCTGGACCACCAGTAAACTTTCCTGATGGTTTTGTACCCATTCCTCCAATGGTCCGCCATCCTGACTGATCCCGACCATACCCAAAAGAACAGCCAAACATTAAATAAGGTGTCGTCCCAGTCGTCTGATGGGGTATAGTATTATAAGCATATATCAACTGGGGAAGATGTTGGGGCCAACTTCTTCTCTGCTGGAGGAAGTGTATGAAGCAAATCATGCAAAGTACGACTGAATCTCTCACATCGTCCATTCCCCTGAGGATGGTATGGCATAGTTCTACTTTTCTGAATCCCATACATTTTGCAAAGTTGCCTAATCAAATTACCTTCAAAATTCCGTCCCTGGTCAGAGTGAATACGGCTAGGTGGACCAAAACGATGAAACCACTGCTGAACTAGAACATGTGCCACTGTACTAGTCTTTTGGTTGAAGGTAGGTATAGCCTGGGAATACTTTTAAAAAAGGTCATCACCAAAACACTCGACCATCACTTGCAGGCTCCAAACCAGTTAAGTCCACCACTAAAACTTCATGAGGTCGACTGGCTCGCAAGGTACCTAAACAGGGTTTATGTTTTGGCTGCACTGCCTTCCCTAAAACACACCACTCGCAGTTCTAGCACCAGCACTCCACTTGACTAGTCATACCCGGCCAGAAACACCTACTTCTAAGGAGTCTACACCTTGGTGACCATGATTATCAAGAACATTCCGTAGAATCTCCTCTCTTAAACACCCTGGCAATATCAACTGCAAGATTTCTTCCTTACCCCCAGATGGATAAATACAGTGGTAAAGCACACCATCCTTTTCCACCAATTTCTCTCATTGGCATTATAAACACTTTGCCTCAAATAGGAGCACATCTCGCTCCTCAGTCACTGGTCACCTACCTTCGATAAAACCTCCTCACCGGGCCCACTGACAAATCCTGCTCTTGTAATACAGACAGGTCATATACATTACAGGCTGGAAAAACTGCAATTTCCCCACACTGACTTGACAGGACCTCACCCAAAACTTCCTGTGGCTTCTGTCCAAATTCAATAGGAACACCTTTACCTGGGACCAACGACTCCACGTACTTAAGGAACAATGCATCATAATTCCCATTACTACGCCCAGGGCAATATTTCAGCTCAAAATTGAAGGAGGCCAACTGAGAAACCCACCACTGTTCAACTGCTCCAAATTTAGCAGTCTGAATGTAACAGTGGGTTATCTGTAAAGATGGCAAAGTTCCCCACCAGATATATTCAAAACTTCTCTGCCACAGCCCATTTAACTGCTAACAGCTCCAATTTCATAGAACTATAGTTCTCCATGTTCCTCTGAGTTTCAACCTTCTACTCGCATATGCGATTGGCCAAACCTTCCCATTTTGCTCCTGTGACAAAACAGCCCCCAAACCCCGGTGACTAGCATATACCTCCAAAATGAAAGGCTTTTGGAAGCCAACACGGGGCAGACACCAGCCGCTGCTTCAGGGCCTGGAAAGCTGCCTCACAAGAATCATCCCAAACCTCCACCAAGGACACACATGGAGTCTTCCCCTTCATCTTCGGACTACACAACCTATTCACCAGATCATGTAAAGGAGCTGCCAACCTCACAAAACCCTCCACAACTCGCTGATAATACCTGGCAAAGCCCAAAAACGAACGCAATTCGGTAAGATGGACGGGGTACTTCCATTCCCGCACAGCCTCCACTTTAGCTGGATCAGTAGCAACCCCCTCTGCTGAAACCACATGGCCCAAATACTCAACCTGGAAAAATGTACATTTAGCCAACTTAACCTTCAGCCCCTGCTGCTATAACCGAGAAAGAACTACTTCCAATTGCAAAAGATGATGATCAACCATAGAAGAAAATACTGTCACATCATCTAAATACAGCAATTGCGACTGGTAATGCTGGTCACCAAACATACACTCCATCAGGCGTTGGAATGTAGCAGGGGCATTACACAGACCAAAGGGCATTCTATTAAACTTGAATAGTCCAAAGGGAGTACAAAAAGCTGTTTTCATTTTATCCTGCTCTACCAAGGGCACTTGGTTAAACCCACTTGCCAAATCGTGTGGAAAACCACCTAGCTCCCGATAAAGCATCCAATGACTCCTCAATTCAGGGACGCGGATAAGCATCTCTGCACATCTTGGTATTCAACTGCCTATAGTCAACACAAAGATGCAAGCTACCATCCTTCTTTGTCACCACCACAATGAAGGATGAATAAGGACCGCTGCTCTCATGGATGACCTCAGTTTCCAACAACTGCTTAATACTCTCATACTGGGATGGAGGAACGCAATGATAAGGCTGCCTAACCGGCACCTCATCTAACAATGGGATGTCGTGTTCAATTAAACTAGTGCAACCCAAGTCACCCTCATGATGGGAAAACAGACCTATACTTCAAAAAGTGTGACTTAGCGTGCAAAGCCTGTTGTCCTGTAAGCTCAGGAAACTCCGGAACATCAAAATAGCCATTGCTAACACAGGAAACTGCTTCTTAGCCAGAAGCAAAAACCATAAGGTCAGTTGATGTCTCAGTAATAGTAGCAAAATTACCAGAATTACCCTGACAATGACTATAATTAATTGTCTGCATTGTGCCAACTGGATGACGAGGTGAGAGCCGCACATCTGCTTGACCCACATTAGTTATAAAACGTAAAAAATACCATTCTCTACGCATACCAGAATGGGAGAAAGAAGCAAACCCTCAGGAAGACATCCTTCCCCAAAACCCAAAGGTTCCAATAAAACCTCAATTGGATATGTCTGGGGACAAGTAACTGGAACCATAGTGAGGGTGCCTGCAGTAACTCGAACTGGTAATGTCCCTTGGACCAAAAATGAATGAGGAGAATTAAGGATTACCTCTATCTTCTCACATTGACGGAGGGCCCTTTTAACCCCTGATGCTGCCAATTTCACTGGAGGGATATGGAAAAGCTGGGAACTATGCTGCACAAAGTACAGTAACAATCCCTCAAAACATTCATACCGAAAATCCCTGGGATTTCTGCTTTGCGTAGCCCTACTACAGGATTCACCGGATCTTTCACAACCAGGACACCAAGCCCCGGAATACACTGGCCCAAGACCTTTACGTCTAATTCAATATAAGCTACATATGATATATCCAAACCATTTGCTGTTTTAAGCCCAACGTCAGTCCTGGAGGGCCTAAGCCCTGTGTAGCTTAGTTCTTTCCCTGTTCCACCACAAATGATTCAGCTCAAAATCTCCAGGACTGGAGTCTGACACCTGTGCCTTAACCACTTACACTCCTGCTTCTGCAAATGGGTCACATGTTTTACAAAGCAGCTCAGTCACAGTAGTGAACATAGACCCAGCGTCCCCAAGACAGGGAACTACTACACCACTCATCTCAACACAACACAAGACAGGTTCCTACCAAGTGTCCATAAAAAGCACAATTCACGGAGCCAGACAACGCCCCCCCCCCCTGCACGCTGGGGGCTTCTAGTTTCCCGCCTGACTAGCTGGGTCATTAGAAGAAACAGCATGAGACACCTGGTCACCAGCAGGCCTAATAACTTGATAGTGAGCAATATGTCTGGGAAAGATTCAGTTTGTACAAATAGGTTGACTATCTGATGAACGTCTAAAACGACAAACTCTTGAAGGAAGGGAAACCCTAGGATTACCACTAGGGGGACCTAAATGTTTTAAAAGTAAGTCCAGCTGGGCCCACTGTTTGTAAATCAGCTCTTTCAGCTCAATAAGCTCAGACTGAGCCTGTCCTCCCATTGCCTCACAAAGGGCTGCACCCTGTTGTTCACACACCAACATTGCCATCCGTGGACCCTTATCACTGGACGACTGGCCCTCTTCCACCCACTGTATTGCCTCTCGCCGAACATCCAAATAATGACAGAGCTGATCGAATTACCTCTTTTTTATTTTATTTTTTTAAATTCCCGGTGCAACAGTTTCACAAAACTGATCCCGCCAAACAGACTCCGGATCAGACACAAAAGTACCCCTACATTGTTTTACCCTTTCCATCAACTCCATCAATGCATGCGAAAACTCATACAGGGATTCACCCTCCCTTTGCCCTCAAGCAAAAATGTTGTGTTGCCAATACACATACGACTTGGCACATCCATAGACCTCAGTCAACACTTAAAAAATTTACAGAGGACTCTCTCACACAGCTGGAGACCGATACTTAATTTCATTACGGGCCTCCCCCTCCAAATGATCAAACAAAAAGTGCTTTTTCCATATCTGACATATACCATAATCAAAGAAAACGGTCTGCCTCTTCCATCCACTCTTCAATTATAAGGGCACCTGAAGCTTTAGAGCCTGAAAACCTTGGGCACTTCCTCTCCCGTGGAACACAGAGGACTTGTTCCCTCCACCGTGAAGGCTGGCCATCTGTTCCACCCGCACTCTCCCCGGCCACATCTTGGGCCCGGGACAGTCTCTTGTTTTCCAGCTGAAGCTGTTGGAGTCATGACTGAAGTCGCTGAAGTTCCTCCTCCATAACAAACTTCTACAAGATGTGCCGCGTGACTCATTTCTCTGCGCGTACAAGTTCTTAGGTCGGTGTTCATGGTTTGACTTCTGAGATTCAGATCGAGTTCTAGGTAAAAAATTTTCAAACTGGTTGGTTCGACTTTTAAGAAATTTGAGTTCTAATGACTTCGAGAACTGAGATACCACTGTGTGTGTGTGTGTGTGTGTGTGTATGTGTGTGTATGTATATATATATATATATATATATATATATATATATATATATATATATATATATATATATATATATATATATATATATATATATA